AGACTACACAGAGAAACCCTGTCGGGGGGGGGGGGGGGAGTAGGTCCCCTGATGGGTAGGACACACAATCTTGGCATTGTGAATTTATAAAGATTGGGACTAAGGGTGGTAAAAGAATTTTATGAAATTTACCAGAGTGATGAAAAGACTTTTATTTACCTTTTTTTTAAATTATTGAAAGTAGATGTTAGTGAGATTGCTTTGAGTTTCCATTTAGGTTGATGTTTGCTATGGGCTTGCTGTAAATTACCTTTATTCTGTTGAGGTCTGTCTCTTTTTCCCTTTTTTTTTTTTTTTTTTCCATACTTTGGGATTTTGTCAAAGGCCTTTCCTAAATGTTTTTATTTAGTAGACTGCGTTTCTCAGTTACACCGTCCATAAACATCTGGGATGAAGCCTGCCTGGTATTGGTGGGTGCTTTGGTTTTTCATGTGTTCTTCTATTCAGTTTGCAAGTGCTTTACTGAGAACTTTTGCATCTATGTTCATGGGGGAAATTGGTCTGTAATTCTTTGTTGGGTCTTTGTGTGGTTTTAGTATTAGGGTAACTTTGGCCTCTTAAAATGAATTGTCAATGTTCCTTGTATTTCTAGCTTGTGAAATAATTTGAGGAATACTGACATTAATTCTTCTGGAAGAATACTGCACTAAAACCATCTGGCTCTGTGCTCTTTTGGGTTGGGAAACTTAATTGCTGCTTCTAGGAGTTGTAGGTCTGTTTAATTTGTTTATCTGATCTTGATTTAACTTTGGTAGGTGATATATCAAAAAATTATCCATTTTTGCTAGGTTTTCCAGTTAGGTGGAACACAAACTTTTAAAGTGTATTTTTATGTTTCTCTGGATTTCCTTGGTGTCTGTTGTTAATTTCCCCCCTTTCATCTATAATTTGTTAACTTGGATAGTTTCTCTCTGCCTCTTAGTTAATTTGGCTGTGGGTTTGTCACTCTTAATTATTTTCTCAAAGAACCAGTTCTTTGAGATTGATTCTTTGTACTGTTTTTGTTGTTTCTGTTTTACTGATTTCAGCCCTCTACTCCTTTGAGGCATTCTTTCTTCCTTTTGTTTTAGTGCTCTCATGCGTGCCATTTAGTTGCTAGTATGAAATCTCTCCCAAGTTTTTTTTTAATGTAGGCACTTTGTGCTCTTAGAACTGCTTTCATTTTGTCCAATAAACTTGAATATGTTTTATTTTCATTCAATTCTTAAAAGTTTTTTATTTGTTTCTTAATATTTTTCTTAATCCATTTTTCACTCAGTAGTGAGCTGTTCAATTTTCAGGAGTTTGTAGTTTTCTATTGTTTCTGATACTCAGCTTTAATCCACTCGGTCAGAAAGGATGCAGTATGTTACTTCAATTTTCTTGAACCTGTTGAAACTTGCTTTGTGTCCAAGTATGTGGTCAGTTTTAGAAAGTTCCACAGCTGCTGAGAAAGAAGGTATGCTCTTTTGTTTGGATGAAGTGTTCTGTCCAGTCGGCTGGTTTACGATGTCAGTTAGCGCCAGTGTTCCTGTTTAGCTTCGTCTGGATGACTCGCTCGCCCAACGCCTGACGGCAAGAGTAGAGTTCTGAAGTCGCAGTCGGTGTGAGTCGGTCAGTGTGCATCTTAGCACGGTAGTGTTTCTTTTACGAACGTGGGTGCCCTTGTGTCCGTGCATAAATGTACAGAATTTCAGTATCCTCATGGTGAATTTTTTTCTTTGACAAATATGTAGCATCCTTTTCCTATCTCTGATTAGTTTTGGTTTGAAGTCTGTTTTGTCAGATATTAAAATGGCTATACCGGCTGGTTTCTTGAATCTATTCGCTTGGAATATTTTTTTTCCATCCTTTTATTCTGAAATGATACCTATCCTTGATGTTAAGATGTGTTTCTTGGATACTGCAGGAGAGTGGGTTCTGTTTTTGTATCGTGTTTGTTGGTTTGTGTCCTTTTATTAGAAAACTGAAACCATTGATGTTGAGAGCTGTCAATGAGCAGTGTCTGTTATTTTGTCGTGTGATGTGGGGGTTTCCTCCTTCTTTTGATTTGCTGGTCTGATATTATTCCTTGTGTTTTCTTGGATGTGGTTAACATTTTCAGGTTAAATTTTTCATAATTGTGCTGTCTGAGCTGGATTTGTAGATAGATACACCTAAATTTGATTTTATTGTGGAATGTCTTTCTTCATATATTGTGATTGAAATTTTGCTGGGTATAGTAATCTAGGCTGGCATCTGTGGTCTGTTAGAATATGTAGAAAATCTGTTCATGCCCTTCTGGCTTTTAGACTCTCCATTGAAAAGCTGGGTGTAATTTGAAAAGTCAGGTGTAATTCTAATAGTCCTGCCTTGGTCTTTTTCTCTTGTCGCTTTCATGTTCTGTTTGGTGTTCTGTATGTGTCTTGTGCTTTGATACCTCCTTCTTTAGGTTAAGGAAATTTTCTTCAATGATTTTTGTTGAAAATATTTTCTGTGCCTTGACCTGAGTTTCTTTTTTGTCTTCTATTTCTATTATTCTTAGATTTAGTCTTTTCATAGTATACCATATTTCCTGGATGCTTTGTGCCTTCCTTTTTTTTTTTTTTTTTTTTAGATTTAACATTTTCTTTGACCAAGGTATCCATTTCTTCTAACTTGTCATCAGTGCCTGAGAATCTCTCTTCCAATTTCTGTATTTTGTTGTTGAGGCTTGCCTCTGAGGTTCCTGGTTGAGTCCCTAAATTTTTTATTTCCGGTTTTTCCTCAAGTTGGGTTTTCTTTATTGCTGGACTCTAGTGGAGACATATTGGCCTGGCTTTTGTTGGGTTTTTGCAGTGGCATCTAGGCATCTGGTTTGGGCTGATAGTAATTCTAGATGTTGATATCTAGTCTTATCTTTGTTGGGTAGGTGTTCCATCCCTTGGCTTCTTATTCCCTCTCTGGATCTTAGGAGCCTGTGGGTTGCCTTGTAGGAAGTGCTTCTCAGTCCCTGCCAGGCGTGACCACTGGGGATCCCTGGTCGAACTTGTCTCTAGGTATTGGGGGCTAACAAACAGAAATGGGGATGGGCTGAGGCTGGACGGAGAGGGGGTAGGCTTTGAGAGCTCACAGAAGGAGAGAGGAAGGCTAGGTCTGCCAGGAAGATCTGTGGAGTCCACAGGAAGTGGAAGGCTAGAGAAAACAGGTCCCTGTGAGTGGTCTGCTAGCTGGGATTGAGACTAAGGAATTGGAATTGGAGTATTGGGAGGGGGGTGAACATCACCGACTTGACTCCCTGGCTGCAGTGGCCAGTGGAGCTCTAGGGAGAGACTGCTCCAGATGCTGGCAGTGAGACCAAGCCTTTGGGTGAGAGAGGAAGCCTTCAGGAGAGCACCTGCTTAGGTCCCTGGGCAGGAGTGACAATCACCTACCTGAGTCCCTGGCCGGTCTTGCCAATGTGTTTCCACGGAGAGACTAAATTAGTAAACCATTTGGGCAAAGCTCAGAAATCAAATCTGGAATGGGGGGGTGGAGAGGCGGTATGGCTATAAACCCGAAACTCAGGTGGCAGAGGCAGAAGGATCTTGAGTACAAGGCAACCTGAGCTATATCGTGAATTCCAGCATAGGCTAGCCTACATAGAAAGATCTCATTATCAAGTATATCAGAGTCAGTAAAAACACTGACTGATTTTATTCTGAGCTGTGGGTGTCATTCGTGTAAGTATTTGTTTTGTTTTGACATTCTGCCTTTATCATTGCTGCCTCATGGTCGATTCACAAAATTATTTTCCGAGAGACATTTTTAACACCGACTCAACAAGTAAATAAGAAATTTGAGGTTCAATCTAGAGAAGGGTGTAAAACAAATGATAGGGGCAAGGGAGAGGATGGTGTGGCTTGGGAGAACTTTGTTACAAAAAGGACTGAAGAAGAATATGAACGCCTATGAACCAGGACATCACTGATCCAGAGAGGTTTGAATACTAGGAAGAGGTTGAGAAAGTTCACAGGGAAACTGATTCTTAATAGTTGACGCTAAAGTGACTGTGTACATAGAAAAACACCAAGGCTTCCGTATATAGGATCTCTGTGAGGCTAAAATGGCAACTGTTAGCAAAGAAAGAATTAAAAAGGCAAGAAGAAAAGTAGGGCTTATGATCCTTGGTGGGGCATACGAATTTTAAAACAGGTGCATTGAAATGGAGAAATGTCTCAGGAGGTAAATAGCTTGCCACACAAGCGTTTGAGGCCATGAGTTCAAATCCCCAGAACCTTCCTAAGGCTGAACACAGTATAGAGCATGTCTGTAATCCTACAGTGAATGCCAGGCTGAGACAGGAGAATTGCTGTAGCCTGTGGGCCAGCTACCCTGATGTTCGCAGCAGTGAAAGAGCCTACCTCAGACAAGGTGGAAAACAAGGACCAGTGTCTGAGGCTGTCCCCTGACCTACACACATGTTGTGGGACATATAAGCCGCTTTCCGACACATGCCTACACATGTCACACACAGAGAGATGAAAAGAGGAAAAAGAAGTTATGTTAGGATTTCTCGTTTGCTAGAACTTACGTAACGAAGAATTGTAAAGGGTCTAAGATTCATTGTCTTTGACTTAAAAGCTAGAAAGTATTTTATTTGCATCAATAAAACTATTGTCCTGATAAAAGAATGAGACATGTTTGTTTATTATTCTAGGGATCTACAAATGGATGCAATAATCACAGAAGTTATGACTATAGGTGAAATGTTGTGGTTTATATGTGTAATAACTCTACCAGCAAACTCTGTGTTAATAAAAAAGTAATTTAAGATGATTATGTAACTTCAGTTTTTTTCTCAATCTTATTTTTCCACCAGAATTACACGTTGAAATAATAACCTATTTATGTTAAATGTAGAAAGTCAGAGGTAACTCACTCGTTCTTTGTTGATTACTACTAGATTTTTGGTTTGTGAAAGAAATTCATAGAAATGAAATTTCCTTACTGTATTATTGACTTACAGCAGTATTTCATCCCTGGTTTACAGTCAGTCTAACTCCTGTTCTCCTGTTCTGCAGCTTGGCTCATCCTCGTCTGTGCCTTTTACATCCATTTTCTCTCAGCTGTTCATGACAGTTGTGGTCCCTCTCATTATCGGACAGGTAAGGGCCGTCTAGCTGTTCTTTTCTGGACAGGTCAGATTGTGAATTCTTAGGTCAGGGCGCATGAAGACAGAAGGAAAAGAGAAGACTGAAAATACACATTTTCATCTTTGAACTTTCAGTTAACATTAAACCACTTCCTTGCTGGTTTTCTACACAAGAACCCCAAAGAGACGCAAGCTGGATCCTAGAATCTTCCGTTCTTGTCAAACAACAGGGTCTTCTGTGGAGGAGCTCCCTGTGACATGGTTATGTGGCTCATTTATAATCATACATATGTAAAACAAGGATACTCTTTGTTTGTTGGGGGGTTTGTTCACTTGGAGTTCGCGCCATGGGAAGCCACTGTCATGTTCAGATGAGTGTGTTCAGTCTGAGAGAAGTGCTGTGTGAGGATCCCTGAGTTCACAGACTGTAAGAGCAGCTGGACCCCAAATTTATTTCCACATTTCATTTGCTTGATGACCGTGGGCAAGTCACTTAATCTCCCTAGCTCCCAGTCACAAGTTATTAAATCTTATAATTACAGTAACTCTCTTAAAGTATTGTGAGGGTTAAATGAAATGCTAATGGGTGTAAAGTTCTTAGAGCGTGATCTGGCATCATCATCCTATACACTGCTGGTGTTACTGAGCGAAACAACGCTTCCAAACGTTGTCCATAAATATGCTAGCCATGCACATAGTATTTAGCACTGTCTTCTGTGGGCTTCTGTGGAGAAGGGATTCTGAGACAGGCCTGTACAGGAAGTGTGTAAGGGTGAAGGAAGCAAGGTGGGGAGGCTGGCTTCCCACCAGGCTTCCACTGCCCCCACGCAGAACTCTGGGACTGGTCCAGCCCCTCAGAGTTGTTCTATATTAGGGCAAGAGCACAGACTCTTCATGTTTTCTCACAGTCATTTCCGATAACAGTTGAAGAGAACACCCACGTGCCAATCACATAATGAGGAATTTAAACAAACATATCTCCTGCTCTCTGCCCCATTTCTTAAGCTGGCTCGCCGAGCCTTTCTCAGTTTCTGTTTATTCCTTCCAGTGGAATGTCCTTCTGCCTACCCTCCCACCCCAGCTTATTACCCCTTGGACTCTTTTCCAGTCACCTCTCCTTTGAACCACATGGCAGTTCCTCAGCTTCATGGCTGCAGCACCCTGTTCGTTCTGTCTCGGCCCCTCATGACGCATATTCACTCTGTATGCCATTGGCTCTTCCTTTTCCTGCTGCGTGGTGAGCTCCATGAGTTTGGAAGCCATGTTTATTCTGTTCCTGTTATATGTCCAGGTGTTCATGCAGTAAGTGTCTGCTGAGGGAATGCATGAAAGCAAGATTCTCTTTCCATGCGGCGTGCTCTTGCCTTGTTGAAGCATAAGCAAGCCTGCCTGCCCCATCTCTCCATATGAACAGCTTCAGTGCATTCATGTTTCCCGTAAGAACTTGGAACACAATTCTTCTCTTACTGAATATTGGAAATATTTATATTAACGATAAATACTTGGCTTAACACATATGGACAGATCCACACGTGCCCACATAATCCAGTTTTTAAATATATAGAGTACTATTAATATTTACATAAAGAATCTTTACCCAGAGAGAATATTGGGGTAAAGATTGGATTGCTCATCCTCTGTGTGCCCAGTAGTAAAACATTCAGTAAATTAGTAACATTCAGTAAAGTAGTAAAGATAGTTAAAAAGTAGTGAGTACCTTTGTTAAAACTGAAAATAAATTTTTATCATACAGCACATTCTGATCACAGTTCCCGTCTTCCTCAGATCCTCCCTACCACCCCATCCATCCAACTCCATACCCAAACAGGCCAATAAAAACCAAACAAACCAGAATAAAACAAAGCAAAGAGACAGAAAAAAAGAAAGAGAAATAAATAAGAAACACACACATGCACACGCATATACACACAAAAACCATAAAAATATAAAATGGATAAGTAAAAGACAAGCAAGGAAAGAAAGAAAGCACCATGAAGTCGGGAGTGGGAACAGTGTAGACTCAGACTCGTCTGTTGTGAGCTAGAAGTAGAGACGATTCCTTCTCGAGTGTTTCTGGCTTACATCTTTAGTCGCCGAGGGTGTCAGTCGGCCTGAGTGGTGAGCTTCAGGGGCGGTGGTAGTCAGTGACGGGGGTATTGACGGTGCATTGACGGGTGGAGTCAATGCCATGCTCAGTAGTAGGTTTTAAGCTAGACAAAAAGAGTTGACAGAGAAAACTTTGAACTTACCCACAGGGGGCCCAGCACTCAGTTTTCCTAGATTGCTGTTTCAGGATTGTTTTTAGGTCTGTATATAGTAGCTACTAGATAACAGTAACTTTTTCTTTCCCAGCAATCACCTGCAAAACAAATCTTGAAAACAAAATGTAGCGCAGTTGTGCCTCAGTATCTAAGGCAGTCCCCACAAACGAAATCCAAGTGTGGTCAAGTCTATAAAGCAGCATAGTGTTTGCATATGGCACACATGTCCTCCAGAGATGATTTATAATACCTAAAAAGGACAGTTCAGATGTTGTCTAAATAATGTGAAGAATAGTAAGGAAAATAAGTCTGTGTAGATTCAATACGTTTTTCTCAAATACCTTTACCTCACACACCCATGGGTGCAGAGGGCCTGCTCCAGGGCCAAGACGAAAGAGAGGGGTCTGCACATAGGAATAAGTCGTATTAGCTGAGCACTGTTGCATGGACAGTGAGCCTCAGATCCCTGAGGACTGCAGGGACGATGAGCACCTCCAGAGGGCGGTGCTGTGGCCACATGCTCCTGGGACCACACCTGTCAGACTCAGCCTGTGTGGCAATGAGGACCCCACACTTCCAACAAGCGCACACGCATCTTTACCAACGGAGATGGGTATCATACACACTGGGTAGGCACAGTATATTACAGTTCCCCGACGGGGAAATTCGGCATTTTAAGGAAGGGCTTCCTTTTTCAAATGCACCAGGAAGGGCTTCCAAGCTAACAGCAGGAGTCTGGAACACAGCCTGCTCACCTCAGCTGGGCTCGTCTGGTGACTCTTCCAGCCCGGAAGCCCGTCCTTGGCCTTGCTGCCGGCCATTTGTGCCTCACTTCCCTCTGACCCAGCCTACAGCCCACAGTGTAGCACTGAGACACTGGTTCGCAGTCCCAGCTCCTCCGCCCTGCCCTCCCTCACCACGCTGTCACAGAAGCCCAGTCCCTGTTTGCACTGGCCACCTATCTGGCCTGTGCAGCTGAGCCGCTTAGATCCCAGGACCCTCCATGGCTCCCTTTCCTGGCAGAACTCCATTTTTCTTGCCTCAGGACAGCTCCATCCAACTGCGCAGACGCCGAGCAGAGCCCACTGTATAGTGCAGCAACCATGTGCGTCTGTGCCTCACACTCACGGCACCAAATTAAAGACATCAGCCGGGGCCTCTGCAGGACCCCGCCTCATGAGAGGTTGCCTTTTCTCTTGATCCTTTCCCCACCCTCCATCTTAGGTCCCATCCTTGACACCTTCCGACTCTCCAGCCCCCTGTCTTCTCTGGAGCCGTTGCCCTGGTCCTTGACACTCTAGAAAGACCCTCCTTCAGCCTCCCCCGCTGGCTGCCCTTGTTGGCAGTAGTCACTATCAGGTCATCTCGTCCAAACTCCTCTTAATGCATTTCATTCTCTGCTTCTTGCTAGCTGGTTCCTTTTTCATTCAGCTCTGACTAGAATGTAAACTCCCAAAGATCTGGACCTGTCTGCCTAGTTTATCTCTGTGTGGATCTTCAACCCACTGACTCACCTAAATTGTTTACGGTGACCTTTGAGGACCTTGTAGCGAGTGCTCATGCACACTCATCCCGGGGAAACTGACCCTGGGCAGCACTCAGCTTGTCAATTGCAACAGAAAGGGCCAAATTACAAAAGTCAACATCCCTACAATCCTTTTCTTTAACAGGGTGAATGGGGGGGGGGGGGAACGTGTGTGTGAACGGAGTGAAATTTCCTGAGCCTTTCACTCATTCATGGCAACACAGTGTCAGACCTCAACCTCAGATTCTGTTCCTCGGGCTGAATTTCACTTCTTTGTCTTTTCTCCAAAGAGTACTCCCTTTTGGTTGAAGTCCCAGCCTTCTGGAGTGTTTGGAAGGCCTGCTCTGGCCCTCCTGTACTGTCTGCTGTCCACATGGCTGAGGGCGTTTTTGCAGAAGCAAGGGCCAGGGCTTAGAACCAGGACCCTGCGGATAAAGCTGGTCTCCCAGGGGGTTAGAAGAGGCTCTTTTTGCCTGTTCTTGATGAGGGAAAGCTGCACCGTTTTGGTGTTTTCCTTCCTGACAAACCTTCATGCCCTGAGCGCTTGTTTTATGCTTCATATTTAAGGATGATGTATCAATAATCGTTAATGAAACTGATTCAGCCACCTTTCATTATTTCCTATCACCCTGGTTAGTTTTCATAGTCGCACACCACAGCCCACCGTGCCTCTCTGTGAATTGGCAATAAAAAATGGGTATCACACTTCATCATGAGTTCTCTGGTCTTTCCACTCATATCTGCTTCACAGTTTGAAGTTGGCCATTCATGTTAAATGGGCTTTAGCATCAGCTGAATGAAGCTAGTGTTATTAATTCCCAACCATTTTGCACGTACGAAGTTGAATTGGATCTGAAATGTTTTCAGTCCTTCTTTTGCTTCATATAGTTGTGTAGTGCCGGTACATTGTTTTGTGGGATGGAATATGTTTTCAACGGTGATAGACACATCATCAACCCGGGACCAGAATTGAGAAGGAGGATCACTCCCCTCACACAGGCTGTTTCTAACGCATCTTCGGCCCAGTCAGTTTCTCAGTTATGTGACTGTAACTATTGTCATATCCTTTTCAGAGATGAGCCACAGGGAAGTTAGTAACTTACCCCGGTTGTCGAGGGAAGGTGAGCCAGGGGTTCGGGGTCATGCACAGCCTGGTTGCAGGCTGAACGCTGACCTGGGCTCTCGTGGCAAACGGAGAGCAAGCCCTGACTCAGCATGTGACGAGCTTTTTCTACCTCATGCAGGTTGTTGGGGTCCCCTTGCGGGTGGTAACCCCAGAAAGATATCTGTAGCATCAGTCTAAGGCTGGAATGAAGTAAGAGGAAGGGATTTTCCCAAACTGATGCTTTTTGTCACTTTTAGATGAGTGATAACTAATGGATGTTTATTATTCCAATTTATTCTTTATACTTTTTTCAAAGTATGTTACTATTATTTTAAACCTGATCAATATTCAATCAAACGTTTTAAGAGAAAAGTATTATAAACATTGGCTTAAACACAACCCATCTTGCATCCATTCGCCAGGACGGTAATAAAGAGACAAACCTTTATGAAAATACATCAGTTCATTGCAACAGAAGGTGCGCACTGAAGAGCCCAAACCCACCATGAAGAAACATACATTTTAAAACTAGGGCTTAACATGAAGAATTATCTATCATACATTCTCACTCCAAACTCAATTTATAAATGTAAAGACAGAGTAGAAAGAAGTAAGGAAATACATGGACCAAAAAGATTAAGAAAACCAAAATGATGAATATTGCCCTTCCAAGTTATCTTGGTCTGTCAACGTTTTTCAGCTGAGATGTGTCACTTTTACTGGTTGCTAAATTGAAGTCATATTACAATTGATATGAAACTCAGCTTATTGGAAATGCAGTCAAATTTAATTTTCCCATAGCCTTGCCTGCTACTTAATTTAAAATAACAAAAATCAAAATATTAAAGATAAGACAATAAAATGAAAGCCTTCCTGTGGGAAATTCTTCCCCCTTCTCTACTGGGAAAAGCAAACAAGCTGATGAGGATTTGTCACTTAATTTTTAATGCCTAAGTTTCTCTGATCACTGAGGACAAATTAATTTAGTATAAGTTCTAAACAAAGATAGACCTGGCCATCCCACCTGGAGCCTCTTCCCACCTCATGCTGATTTGTCTTTGTTGCTGAGAATTTTCTCATGAAAAGTCTCAGGATGTGCTGGTCTTTCTAGCAAAGCTTTGGGTTCTATAGGGTTACTAAAACTGTCACTAAAGCTAAAGTCTGGAGAACTTTTAGATGACGCAAAATTTTTAAGAAACAGCATGGTGGGGGCGGGGCTGGAGAGATGGCTCAGTGGTTAAGAGCACTGTATGCTTTCAGAGGTCTTGAGTTCAATTCCCGGCAACCACAAGCACCCCGGCTCACAACCATCTATAATCTGATCTATTGCCCTCTTCTGACACTTGGTCCACATGCAGATAGAGCGGCTTGACTGTGACAAAAGGCGTTGCTGAGCCGAAGGATGGTGCTTTCTGGAGCTTGTGGCCAGGCCACATCTGCTACACCAGCAGCTCTTCCCCCGTCCATCGCCTTTCTTACTGCACAGTGCAGACAGCTGCTCCAGCAAGTGAATTTTAAGCAAGGTGGCAAGTCTCTGTGGAGCTGGAAAGATGTAGAATGCTTGGCTGAGGGAACATGGGCAGACACCACACTGAGGCTGGAAATCTCCCAGCATTCTGATTCCCTCCAGGGTTGTTCCCTGCCCTCGTGGGCTCATCCAGGTCCCAACTTGTAGCTGTTTTCCTCAAGATTAAGTATCTGGCTCTGACCCGTAGACGTGTTTAGACTAAGAGGATTCTGACTGAGGGACCCTTGCTTCTTGCCGTAGCGAAGGCATCCACAGTACCGTAAGACGGAATGCCTTGTAATGAGGTTTTGAGGAGACTGTTAGGTTAACTAAATCAAATTACTGATCATAATGTTGATTGATGATTGGAGATTTGCCTTGGCTTTAAGATGGCTTTGGCTTCCAAGCTCCAACCCGTTCATTTTTATTTACTTATTGGGGTGGGGGTGAGAGAGATGGACACATTTACTTTGGGAATTGGAGTCATATATTCTAATCTGTTGCAGAGGGGACTTATTTGTTTTTAACTAGTCTGTGTTAAAGTAAGAGTGAATGTTGCGCCAGGCAGCGGAAGCACACGCCTTTAATCCCAGCACTTGGGAGGCAGAGGCAGGGGCAGGTGAATCTCTGTGAGTTCAAGGCCAGCCTGCTCTACAGAGCTAGTTTCAGGAGAGCCAGGGATACACAAAGAAACCCTGTTCTCAAAAAAATAAACAAAAAAGGGAGTGAATATTGCCACATATGTCATTTATTTCCACTTAATTTTAAAGCAGCTGGACTATTAAGATTTGGAAGACTGTATTTGACATATAGTATATACAAAGTCACCTAAGTGAAGTTCCTTGCTAGCCTTTCATGATGTCATGTTCGAACCAGGGCCATCTTCTTACCCATGATACCTTATGCATGGTTAATGCAGAATTCCTGCTCCATAACACCGGGCAGCAGCCCTGCTCTTTCTCTACACAGCACATTTTCAACTCTACATAACGAACTCCATCAAACAACGCCAGAGTCTGAAAACTCTCCTTCCCCATCAGTATTTTAGTGAGCCAATTATTAACTAAGATCCACTTTAAAGAAACCCCAGCCATTGTTGACGAGTCTGTAATCCTCACCCTATACGTCCCCACAACCGTGGAGGTTGTGTTCCCGCACTGATACCAGCTGGTCAGCTTTCTGCCAAGACTCTTCCCTACGCACAGTCACTTTACTCACTCCTTGAGCACAGGGAAGCAGATTCGGCTGTTACCCACCGAGAGGTTCGATTGAGGGAGCACAGTGTTCCGCCTCATCCCCAGTGGGGACAGCCCCTGGTGGAAGCCTGACACCAGAGGGAAGTGAGCCCAATAGAGGCTTTATTCTGCACACACAGATACACACACACTGACATAGGTGAAGCTTAAGTTGTAAGTTAGCCCAGCAAAAGATTAGCAGCAACCATAATACAGTGTAATTGCAATAATAAGCTATAATTAAATTATTCACAGTTTGTGAATTGTTTATTTCTTGAACGTTCTCTTGCCACATTCATAGTGAACTTGGCACTTAAAACTGCAGAAAATACAACTATGGCTGGGAGAGGAGACTGCAGCCTGTTTTGTTTCCAATATCTTTAAGGCTGTGCTCCACTGAAAATTTAGCCTTCTTAATGGCAGGGTAGAACCCCGCCACCGTGCAGAGGTTCCCTGACCTCATTACTGCTAATGGATCCCCGGTAACTCATCCTATCATGAAATTTCACATTCAGTTATGCAGGACAGTGTGTAAATCAAAACTTAGAATTTCTCCACTCTCATCCTGATGGTGGACCTTCAAAAGAGAGAGGACACTGCCGCTGCAGAGCTGCCTCTCATGCCCAAGCAAGCAGTATCAGCAGTATCCACACTGTCCTGATTCTAAATATCTGATTCGGTCTTAAAAATAAGAAGGTGCTACATTATAACTTTTATTTCACCAGTCCTTTTATAGAAAAGTTAGGACAGGTCTATTCATTTCTAAGTATTAATTTTAGAATTCTAAAAGCATACAAATGGCATTTGTCTTTGGATTCACAAAAAACTCTAGATACTCAGATGTGAATTATTTAAACTCCCACAACACATGCACTTTTGCTTTTCAAGCATGAGTTATAATTTAATTAAAAACTTCTGGTGCATTGCTGGTGTTTTAAATATTAATATGTTCCATGGATCACTTTCGATTATCTACTGTCTTGAAATTCTTGAAGATGTCAGATTTTTAAGATTCCCAGAGTCGCACTTGGTCTGGTCTGTTGAGGCAAAGGGGACTGTGGTAATTACACACATCCATTAAGATTAGCAGAGGACATAAACTTGGGGGAGGCTCAATGGGCATGTCTCAGTGACAGCTAGCAAAGAGCATTTGGCGTGATTAAGGGTGGATTTGAATGTGGTTGAAAATTCCCTCTCATTACGGACGCCCAGTGGAAGCTGCACCACGATACTGAATTCCCCAGCAGAAGGGTGGGGAAGCCAAGAAGCTTTGAAATCCACTGTGGCCATCATCCAAATTATCCTCTTCCCATTCTGTCTTTGCGCTGTCAGAATCACTTTGCGGTGCCCAGTTCCACTTCCCACACCTCACTGTAGAGGCGACCTGTTGATCTGTTTCAGATTGTCCGGAGGTACATCAAGGACTGGCTGGAGAGAAAGAAACCCCCTTTCGGGGTGGTCAGCAGCAGCGTGCTGCTCATGATCATCTACACCACCTTCTGCGACACGTTCTCCAACCCGCTCATCGACCTGGATGTGTTCAGCCTCATCGTCATACTGTTCATAAGTAAGTCAGGGGAAGGACGTCCTGGCTGGCCGTGGGGGTCCCTGACGCCTCCGCAGCGTCGTGAAGCAGTCCCAGCCTCTGCTAACGAATACTGTGTTTACTCAGTGGCTTCATTTTATCTGTATGTGCTCTGGAAAGACAGCAGCCCTACATCTGTGACCTTAATCTGCTTTCCTGTTTCATGCACCACTTTCTGAGCTACAGTAGTTTGTGTTAAATACAGGTCCCATTCAACTCAGTATGTGTCACCAAATTAAGTTAAACTCAGTCTGTACTCTTAGTGACTTGAAAAGAATTTGTGACATATAGATATACATAATACTGTATATCTATAATAACGCAACTGCGCTGGATAACGTGAAGTTTCCAGCGTGGTTTCTAATGAAGTTTATCTAAAGAGTGGCTTTTCCCTTTTCAGGAGCAGCAGACTGTAACTGTGAGGAACTGCTAAAGCTTAAAAAACAACTTTGTATTCTAGTCGTCCTGGAATTCCAAGCAGGACTTTTATGGATACTATAATATTAAATAATCTTTCTTTAACACCGAGATGAGTTATTTCAAGGTACACATTATGTATACATTTGTGCTGTTCAGGTCCTAGCATAAGCCAGTTCTCTCTAAGTGAACAAATGAGAGCAGTAAAGCAAAGGCAAAGGGGTTCCAGATCTTCAGCTGACGCCACAGGCCGCGCCCGAGAACAGCTTCCGTCCAGCCGTCTGTGCTTCTGTCCGTTTTGCGCTGTGTGGATTTACCTGGTTTTAATGTCAGCCAGGTGTTAGGTGGAGCTCAGAGGCTCCGGGAGACTCGTGGCTGACCCCACTCAGCCGGCTGTCCTCTTTTGTCTTTTCCTCAGTAGTCTCCGTCCAGCTGAGCTTCATGCTTTTGACCTTCATCTTCTCAACACGGTAAGTGGTTTGGCATCTCCTGTTACTCTCTTTACTCGGCTACTGTATTGCTCTGTTGTCTTATATTTCCTTCTGTCTCACTGACCGTTTTCTGTCAATGCTGCCACTTTCAGACTAGAGACATCAGCGAAGGTCTGTGCTGGGCCCTTGTCTGGTCTCCCTCGCATGCTCATGTGGCCCCTCCATTCTCCTGGCCTCACTGGCAGCTTCCTGCTGACACTTTCATGTTGAGACCTTCTGTCTAGGCTTCTTCCTATGTCCCGGAACTATTACTACCATGTAGATATCGTCCCTGACTGTCTTAGCAAGATTTAAAAGGCACTTAGTCTCTTCTCTGAAACTTCCTCTCCCTTCCTTCTATTTAAATAGACTGTCTTTTAATTTTCAACTAATTCACACACATAAACCATGTGCCTTGATCATGACCACCCTCCCCTCTGCTCTCCAGTAGGCACCCCTAACAGGTTCCCTCCCCTTCATACCCTCTCCTTTTGTGTAACCACTGAGTCCATGTTCGGCTGTCTCATTGGCCTATCATAGCTTCAGTGAGTTCATGAGTACAACGGCCATTTCATGACCAAAAGATGACTTCCACGGCACTCTACCGCTCTTAACAGTCTTTCTACCTCTCTTACAAGGTCTTTCCTGAGCCTGTTGTTTATTCATTCACTCATTCATTCATTCATTCATTCATTCGTTCAGGGTTTCACAGCACAGCCCTGGCTGGCCTGGAACTCATTATATGCACTAGGCTGACTTCAGACTCACAGAGGTTCATCCCCACACTCAGCTGTTAAAAAACATCTCCATTTCCAGAATCCCCCAAGCTGGACTCCTTATTGTCATCATTTTGTAGATAATCACCTGATTCTGTCATCCATATTCTATTCTCAAATCCACTTCCCTCATTCAAGAGTTACCGTGCTAACTCCACTGGTAGCCTCAACTTTTTTATATACATTTCTTTTGTTGGTTTGTTGTGGTTGGGTGGGAGGGTGGGATTTTTTTCTCTTTTTTATTATTATCACTTACTACAATTTATTCGCTTTGTATCCTGACTGGGGCCCCCTCCCTCATCCCCTCCCAATCCCACCCTCCCTCTCTCTTTTCCCGCCTATGCTCTCCCCTAGTCCACTGATAGGGGAGGTCTTCCTCCCCTTCCCTCTGACCCCAGCCTGTCAGGTCTCATCAGAACTGACTGCATTGTCTTCCTCTGTGGCCTGGTAAGGCTGCACCCCCTAGGAGGAGGTGATCAGAGAGCCAGCCACTGAGTTCTTATCAGAGACAGCCCCTGTTTCCCTTACTAGGGAACCCACTTGGAGACTGAGTCTATGGGCTACAGCTGTGCAGGGGTTCTAGGTTATCTTCATACATTGTCCTTGGTTGGAGTATCATTCTCTTCAGGGGCCCCAGGGCTCAGTTTTTTGGTTCTATTGGTCTCCTTGTGGAGCTCCTGTCCCCTACAGGTCTTTCTAACACCCCCTTCTTTCATAAGATTCCCTGTTTTTGGTTTTGGTTGTTTTTTTATTTTTCTGAGACAGGGTTTCTCTGTGTAGCCCTAGCTGTCCTGAATACAGTCTGTAGACCAGTCTGGCCTGGAACTCACAGAGATCTGCCTGCCTCTGCCTCCCGAGTGCTGGGATTAAAAGTGTGCTCTTACACGTTTCTTACGGCTCCAGTGGTGGGGTCCTGGTGGGCATTTGTGTTCCAGTGTCTCCAAAGCTCCCCAGAGCCTGCACAGCGATGCTCACCTGTGAGTCTGTTTAATGGTTGTGAAAGACCATGTACGCCCATGCTGCCTAAGCTTTGGGTTGATGTAAAATCTGTGTTGTTTCCTTGAGGAAACTCACGCTTTCTCATCTCTGTCCTTCACGGACGCTGTTCCCGTGTTCAGCTTAGTCTCCATGTCCTAGTCCAGCTTCTCTGCTGTATGTGTGCCCGTGTGTATTTGTTTTAAGAAGTTTTACTACGTAGCCCAGGCTGGCCTAATGCTCACGATATAGCCCAGGGTGGCCTTAGAATTGTGGCAATTTTCCTGTCTCAATATGAATCACCATCTTTCAAAACATCTTTCCTGTTCTTAAATGCTTTCAGAAAATGCCACTTCTACTGGTCGAATTCATTCAATACATGTCACTTAATCCTGGGAAGTGAGAACAATGTCAAAGTGAATGTCTCAAAAGAGAGCTGATTCTAGTCCTCGTGAGTTTAGAGTAGATACTCGACCCCTGAGGGATCACTCAGCCGACCCCCTGGTCAGCAGGAAGAAGCGCTTCCAGAGCTGGGGTTGGCTTCATGGGAGAGATAGCCATAAGGAATGGCTCTTGTGGGAGAAGCAGCAGTGATACATATGTTGGCACATGAACATAAGCAGGATACGGTGGAGTGGTGGCAAGGAGATTCAGAACAGAGCTAGTTCAGGGGCTGGAGCAGGTCTCCAGGCCCTTGGGCTGCTGCTGCTGACAGTTACTTCTCACAGGAAGAAGGCCTGGGCTCTCACGAAGCCTGACGTCCTGCCTGGTTTGTGGACTTCACTCTAGGTTTTTGGCATTCGGTGCACTTGATTTATCTGATCGTTTGGAGTAATTTTTGTTTTTGTTTTTTTTTGTTTTAAAAGAATTAATTGCTCTAATATGAAGCATTTTTCTAAATTTTAGGTTATGGTTTATGAAGTGAAACTAAATCCTAGAGCAGTTAAGTCACAGAGAAAAATGTGTGTTTGCTGTTCCTTGTGGCAGAGGTCACAAAACTGGTCATGTCAGATGATAAGAGTTTGTAGACACTCCGTTAGAGACTGAGCATTTCCTTGAAAACCATCCTGGTGTCATTTCCTGCTGCTGTGATCAAATACCCTGGCAGAAGCAGTGCAAGTGAGAAAGAATGTATTTGGCTCACAGTTCCAGATTACAGTCCATCGCTGCAGGACAATCAAGGTGGCAGAAACCTGCAGAACTGGCCACAGTCCATCCACAGTCGCGGGCGGAGAGCAGTGTGCTAATGCTAGCGCTGAGAGAGTTGCCTGTACTCTACAATCCGCAACCTCCTGGCGAGGGGCTGGCGCTGCCCCAAGTGGGCAGTGCTTCCCGCCTCATTAATTAAGACAGTGCGCCACAGACATACACACAGGTCAGCCTAGGTTCGACAACCCTTCATTGAACCTCCATTCCTCCATAATTATGAATCTTGCCAAGTTTACAATTAAAACTAGTCATTAAAAAGCATAGAGGATGGGATGGGATTACTGAGGTGCCGGAGGGGGGGCATGGTGACTAATTCAATTAAAACCCTCAATTATTAGTATAGAGTAGACTGATCTTTCATTAGGACCCTGGTCTTGAAATTCTGCTTCTCTACTGTATTCAGCTGTGCCTTGAACTTTGCCCTAACTCGCTGTCAGACATATACATTCTTTGGCAAACCATGGTATGGAATAGTTCTATCTATGTGCCCATGCTCTGGGGTAATGCCCAGAAATAGTCTATTAAAACTTGCGCAGTTTTCAAAGGAATAAAATTTAGGAGATGGTTTGCATGCTGTTTCCAAACTGAGAGATCTCATAGTTTGTAAGTATCTGACTGGAGGAGGAAAACTGCCTGTCCCATGTCAGCCTGTGTCTGAGGGGTTGTTCATATGGTGCTTCATGTCAATGACAGCGGTGTGCTGTTGGTACATTTCATTGCTGTTTTGTCAGAAGATGACCCATGTTTACAGTTTCATGTAGGAACTTGCCCAAAATTCAGCTTATCCATTCAGGTAGTACATGTAGAATTGAAGTCTATTTTCATTTCATATTTGCAGAAGGCTTTGCCATTCACCATTGCTCTAAAATGTATTTTAATTGCTTTCAAAATCTGTAATAGTGGAGCTGGTGATATGAAGGCTCAGCGTCATGACTGTTTGCCACTCCTGAAGAGGGTTGGAGTTCGGTTCCCAGCACCCACACTAGGTGGCTTACAACCACCGGTAGTAACTCAGGTAGTAACTCCAGCTCCAGCGATCTGATGCCCTGTTCTGGCCTCCTGGAGCACTCTATTCAATGTGCACATAACCACACACAGATACACGCATACAAGTAATTTAAAATAATAAAAATAAATCTTCTAGCTCGTAATACTTACTTCACTTAGAGTATTTGTAAAGAATGTTTAACTGAGTTCTTCACAGAGACACACTCAGGTTGTTTCAGGTGCCATGGCTTTTACGCTAGGTCCAGTGTCTGCGCTGGGGTCTATTTTTTTTTACCCTACTTTTGTTTGTTTCCTACTTGTAATTCCCTGGGGTCTCTTTTCTTATCCTACTCTTGTTTGTTTCCTACTTGTCACCAGTGAAATCTGTCTGTGCATCCCGTTCTCCCTTCCGCAGTTTCCTCCTCCATGTTCTTACGAGCGCAGTAGAGCTAGGACCAGTCTGGGCCTGAAAAGAAACCTATTCAGTGCTGAAATCCTTCTCTTGTTTCTGCAACATGCAGCTCCATGCTGATGACGGGGGTGGGGGGGTGGGGGGGTGGGGGATGATATAAAGCTGGGACCCAGCTTCGAAAATGAAGCTTTACTGCCACCCCCTGCTTCTGTAATTAGGATTTCTTAGGGTTCCTGATCTAGAATGTCACCACGCCAAAGAGCATTTAAAACTGATTTGCAAGTGATCATTCTACATTCCCATTTGTCTGTTTGTAGAGTGGTGCTAGAGTCCAAAATCCCAACACTAGACTCCAGTGGATTCAGGCATCAGCCCCACTCAATCAGCTTGTAATTTGTGCTGCTTTTCCTTATAAAAGCAATCAGAGGTAGTATGTATCTCATAAGAAGACTGAGAGAGCAAAATTCATGGAACCCTCAGCACGCAGACCAGCGCAGAGTAAAGTCCTCAACAAGCGTAAGGCACCCTGGGACACTTACGCCATCAAGATTGCATCTGTCACATTGAAAACTGGTAACAGCAGAGAAGGTGGGAGCTGCCTCTCCTGTCTGTGGTGTGGTCCGGGTCCCCTTTCTCTGCCACAGTCCTAGGAAATGAGGCTTGATTCGCCAGCTGCAGGTCAGCCATACTCAGTGAGAGCGCTGAGCTTCTGCAGTTTCGGAAGATTGCCCCAGTTTTGTTTTGTGTTGATGTGGAAAAGCTTAGAAAAGGGCAGCAATGATGTTTAAAATGTATGAAAGATACTTGGGTAGTGACTAAGAAAGGAGACGGAAAAGTTTGTGTGCACGTGTCAGCCTCCCGCCGCAGCACGGGTGCAGGGAGAAGGCAGGCAGGCTTTGTGTCAGTCCCGCGTCTGTGTTCATTTGGAGGTGAGCGCCGGAGCCAGAGTTCTGACCAATGAGGTGATGGGACCTTTCTTGTTAAAAGGCAAGACAAAGGCTCGCGAAGGGAACGTCACAGGGAAGGTCCCTCCAGCAGCTTAAACAGAACTCACTCTCTCTCTCTCTCTCTCTCTCTCTCTCTCTCTCTCTCTCTCTCTCGGGACCTTTTCTGCCCCACATTCTGTGTTTCTGCTAGAGAAACCTGACATGTCTTCCTCTGTGGGTACAGAGGAAGACAAAATAAATATCGCGTGGAAACCGCTGATTGAAACCTTTGTTAGAGAGAATTCTTAAGAAACCAGTTGAGAAGAAAAGGAAGTAAGCACCTCCTTGGGGGGAGCCAGAGTGATCAAAAGAAATGATAAAAGCAGGATAAAAAGAAAATATTAAACAGAGATACGGTGGGGTGAGAAAATGAAAAGTAACACGGTTGCTTTACACGCAGATGCTCGCACTGGAGGCGACTTGAGTCCTCACCGGCTGGGTGATGAGCAGGGCACTGTGGCTTTCTGGCTGTGTCTTGGTGCCGCCCTCTACCAAGTGTGCACAAGGGTCACCATTGACCCAGGCAACTGCTCTCTCCCACCCATTAGATTCTGAAGTGGTTTTGGATTTTGTTTTTGATGGCTTCTTTCCGAGAAGATAGGTTGACCCCGAATTTGGGGCGGCTGCTCCCTATCTTGTGACTTTGCGTGTGCCGGGCTTTCGGTCCCTCTTCGGAAGAAGCAGGGCAGAAAGGCCACCTCTTCATGCGGCTGCCCTGAGAAGATACTGGATGTAAAGTGCCCGGAAGTGCGCTCAGTTGTGCTCAGTGATGTGGTCACTTACTCCCACAAGGAGAGGACTACGTGGCCATTTGCTGGATGGAGCTTGACACTGGGTGGCTGGAGTCAGGCCAGCCCTGGAGGACGTAGATTTTAAGCACAAGTGCTCAGTGTTTCCACCCTAAGTCCCTGTCATCCCTCCTGTGGAGTTAGTGTCCAGCCCACACAGCTTCAGCCCCTTACCCAAGCAGAACAAAGGCGCAATCTCATGTGTTCTCTTGATTCACACTGGAAGTGCATTTCTGGGGAGTAGGGGGTTGAGCTCCAGGTCAGACCAGAGCCTCCTGGACCTGCTGGAAATGTGCTGTGATCTGAACAAGAGCAAATTCCAAGCAGACTCGGGTTCACTAAAGGAAAACACCTCCAAGCGCCCCACGGGAACAAGCAGAGTGAGGCCTTTGCATGTGGCTGAGGGCTTGTGTGTCACAGATGTCTGTTCCCTCCCACAGGGATGTCTCCTCTTCAGCCCACCACACTCCCTCACTCCCTGAAGCCCTGAGTGAGGGCAGTGCCTCCCATGACGCGAGTCACTCCTGGGTTTTCTCTATTTTTCCACCCAACGTTGTTTTTCTACTTTGCTTCCAGCTCAAAATAAATAAATGCATTAATAAAAACTCCATTTACCCCATTTGCCTGGTCCTTTATCAGTGTTTTCATATATCTCCCTCCTCCCTCCTCTCTCTTCTTTCCTCTGTCCCTCCATCCCTCCCTCTTTTTCCTCCCTCCTTCCCTTGCAGCCATAACTCTATAGCATCAACTCTTGGACTCTCCAACCCTAGTGTCTATGTCTTACATTCTGTTCCCATTCACTACTCAGTGTGCCTCTCAATCTAGAATCCTCAGAGCTTCTAATGTTCCATAACTTTTTTCTTTCTGTAAGTAACCATTACAATGATAAAAATATCACTAGTGTATCATAAGCAGTTAAAATTACAGTGTGTAATTTTTTTTTTTGGGGGGGGAGGCCGTCAAGAAACCAGGGTTTCTTCCTGATGCCTTGGCTGTCCTGGATTCACTTTGTAGACCAAGCTGGCCTCCAACACACAGTAATCCACCTGCCTCTGCCTCCCTAAGTGCTTAGATGAAAGACATGTGCCACTACGCCTGGCTTCACAAATACTTGCATTTATCCCCATAGAGCCAAGTAACAGTGCCCTGTGTGTTTAAATCAGGTGTGCTCATCCCCAAAGCCTGTGCTCCTCAGTTCTTGGGAAAGAGCACTGCTTGGAGGGTAGCAGTTGACTTTCTGGTGGTTCAAACGCTGTATGGCCATTTCCTGCTCTTCCATTGGCCCATCTAGCTCCCCACTTATGGCCATCGTCTCCATCTTGAATCTCAGCCTGCTCTTTTTGTATGAGTACTTTCAAAGAGCGAGTCTGATCACATCCCTCTCGTGTTTCCACTTGCCCCATCCAAATCCACACCTGTCACAAGCCAGTATTCCTGAAGATGAAGCATCTGCTCCTTGCCGGCTATGCGTACTGCTCCTGTTTAGAACTGTGGTTTACCATCCCTAACCTCCTCGGAGGCTGTGTGCTCCAATGTTGTATCCCGCCCTCCAGGGGACAGGGCATCCCCTCTTCCAATGACAGGTCCCCCTCCTTCTCTCCCTCCTCCCTGCCCTCATCACTTGCCCCTTCTTTTACATACAGTATTTATCTGCACTCCTGTTCTGTCATAGTTCTGGTGTTTGCCTGAGGGTTCCCTCTCTGTTGGGCTTACCACAGGAATAAAGGGATGAAAAATGTCAGTCATGCAGCATGGTGTTTAAAGAACAAGAGGAAAGTCACAGTGCGGACATGTGCGTTAGACACGAGACAGTAAGGCATCCTGTTGCACTCCAGTGCCACTCATCTGTGGGACGTCACCCCAAAAGGGACACCAGACCCCAGATCATACCAAGAGAGATCTGCAAGGAATGCTGCAGCACATGAGCATGCAGGAGAGGAGACTCCCCACACTCTCCACGGGCAGGGTTAAGAGTGGCCCCTAACACCTTCCCTCCAGGGAGTGAGCGGAACAGGATGTAGGATCTACTTGGTGGTGGTGGGGGTTTCAAAAGAGGGATTAAGACTTTTTTTTTCCCAGTTACAGATGGGGAGATGAAGGAAATGTGGACCCCTTCATTAGAAACCTTCAAAAGTTGAGGGGACATGGGCTTTGGGACAGGTGCCCTTAATCTGTAGCATATTTCTATAGGTAGTTCACTTTGGGAGCGTTTTTTTTGGTGAGCTAACTCTTGTCAGAGTTCAGAGCACAGAATAAGTAGATTCTACAGGAATTATACCATCTACAGGAATTGAGGAAATTTCTAAGACAGAAGGGAATATTTTATTATTCTTTTTTCTACTACTACTACTATTCCTAGGTTTCCCTCATGATTTTCTAAACCCCTATACCTGCCCTTAGAAACTGAGGTTCCCTAAATAGAAACCCATGCATTTTGGTCCATAAGCCTCTGTCACCAGGACTGATCCGCAGGGTGCTAACGTGAAGATAGACACATTTGGTGTAGGAAATGCTTGGCTTTTCCTATAGGATTTGTAAAAACCTCTCCTTTCCTCCCCAGGAATAACTCGGGGTTCACAGCAGCGGACACGGTGGCTATCATCTTCTGCTCTACACACAAGTCGCTCACACTGGGTAAGTGAGTCACCAAGGTAAAACACTGTCGCTCTACATAATGTTGAAGCACATTGTCAGGTTAAATGGAACAAGGCAGTAGGCACAGCTAGACAAAGAACAACAGCCAAGTGCAGAGCGCCACCGCTCTAGAGAACTGTGATTTCACCACACCAGTTCCCAAGGGCCTAATTCATAACACAGGATTTAGCTTAATATGCAACCATGTTTTCAATTCTTGTGAATAATGATCAGTGCAAACTCTTAACCTAAGTTGGCTAGGGGTCTAGGAGGCCTGTTTCTGCAGAAGAAATTGGCAAAAACTTTTCCTTAGAAGTTCTAGAGTTGTATCTAGAAAACATTGCCTTTTTTTCTGGGAACTCAAATCAAGATGAGAATAATAAATGCTGTTACTCTAGTTTGGTGACTGATGTTAAATTGAAATTCATTTTTTAATATTATTGTTTTCAACAAAGGCAGTTTAACTATTGTGACTTGACTAGATCAACAATAAAGGGGAAGTAGTATTTATTTAATGGAAAAGATTAAGAAGAGTAATGCCAGTGTCTGCCTTGGCTTAGCCAACATTATGCATTATCCCAGTAACCTCTGAGACATCTAGAATCCACCTCTTCGGTCCTTAAAAATCATTAAGTAATCAGGAACTCTGTTGCAAAATGCATTATTTGTGAACTCTGTGGGGCTGTTGGGATGTTGTGTAAAAACTCAACTTTAAAATTCCTCTGCATTTGAAATGTGACTCACTGAGAGACTGAGACTGAGGAACCATAGTGTTGCTTTGAATTTACTCACATTCAAAACATTCTTTCGTCAACGAGAAGGTGGATAGATTGCATCTCTTTTTAAATTCTAAACAAAGCTGGGTGTGGGGTCTTCCCCAGTTTTGTTAAGTTTGGAAAATAATTTCAAACTGAGACAGTCTTTGAAGAGTACTTCCTGCCTATGGTTTGGAGTCTCGGCAGTCATCATTGAAAGGAAGAGCTTTGGGCTCTGCATTCCAATCCTGGTAACATGCTGGCCGTTAACTTCCCTGAACTTGGCTCTGTCTGTGAAATGGGCTGATGTCTAGTGAAGACAAGCTTTGTCAGGTCCCCAGCACAGTCCTTGGTGGATCGTAAGTGACCAGTCCCTGACCAGTCCCTGGCAGAACACGGGCAGCCACAGATGTCTCTCAAAGCTGGCTGTGCTGCCCAGCACTCAGTGGCCTCCAGAAATAGTGCTGTTGTTCCTATTCATTGTGTTAGGTATAAATGTGTTATTGTGCCCATGGTTCCAGTCACATGACCCTGTCGTAGGTTTTCCTAGAATAGCTGTAGATCAGCTGTTACCCTCAAAGAAAGCATCTCACATTCTGTTCCACATCATTATAGCTGCCATATATGACATGCCAGTCTTATAAAAACTAAGGGATGCACCCAAAGGTCAGGGGGTCAGAGGGGCTTGGATGAGCCATGGTCTTAGAGCACAAGTTTAACTATGGCTGTCCAGTATGCGTTCTTGCCTGTCTGCAATGGGCTATTAAACCCGCCACCATCTTAGGATTGGCTGTAGACTGAGAAGCCGAACTGAATGATGATTTCTGTTTCTCTCTGAGCAAACACCAACTAGTTGAAACTAATGTAGGAAGCATGCCCAGGGGTGACTGGTACTCACCGCCCCTCCCCGTCAGCTGGGGTTTTTCCATCTAGTCCTGGCTGCCTGGGACTCTGTAGACCAGGCTGGCCTCGAGATCCGCCAACTTCGGCCTCCCAAGTTGGGATGAGTTTGTGCATCAGCATGCCTGGCTTGGTGTCTCTATCTTTATAAGCAAACCTGCTCAAATCCAGATTCTCTCTCTTCCTTTCCCTTACTCTTTGCTCTTTTTGTTTTCTGAAAGCTGATTTGCAGAAATAGTTGTTTTGCTAAAAGGATTGGATGAACTTGGATTTGTGTTTGCCTGTAAAAAGTTCTCCCAAGAACTATACACTTGGCTCTTCCACGATGGTCAAATCAGTGGCAGCTAGTGATGACACAGCGATTGTAACAGCAGCTCTGACCACACGGTGACCGTAAGACGGTGTGGTAGTTAGTGACCACGCAGTGACGCTAAGACCCGAGGTAGCTGCTGATCACGCAGTGTGAGTCCTTAGCTGCTTCACCCTGATGGGTCTGAGAACCAAAAGATCTAAACACCTGCCCTGGCCTCGGACTCTCGAGGTCTCAGGTGAGAGAATTTTAGCCAGTTCATATATCCTCCGTCCTCAGCTTCCTCCTACAGTATGCCTCATGGCTTCTCTTTATCTCGGACAAAGCACCTTTATCTCCTCATACACCAGGGGCCCTGGGGCTGATTGCTAGAATGACTTGTAAAATCCACTAAGTTTGCTCCATTCATTTTCACAATATCCCTCTCCTGGTATCCTGGATGTCCCAAGGGTGGCAGAGAATGTGTCTTTTCAATGACCTGAGCTGCAGGCCAGTCGTTGTCCAGATGGAAATCTTTGTCTGCTTTGGAAAAACATCACATTCTGTGTGGGGGGAAAAAATGACATTCCAGAAAGTGGAAGGAAATTTCACATAACATCACCCAGAGTGATATTTTTTTACACACAAAGATGAAATATAACAGATTATAATACAGCTGTTGGCAGTTTACAAACACATCTTCTCCTGTGTCAAATACTGCCATAATATTTCTTCCAGTGACTTTATATTCACACACACACACAGACGAAACACACTCACACACACCTCAAGTAAAATACATTAAGGGAAACTTAGAAATTACAGTTTATCACTCTACCTAATTTATTTCGGAATAAGCCCTTGCAGGCCAGCCGTACCCGTGTGACTAATGATGCTTGGGAAGCCTCCTCACCATCCTGCATGCATTCACCTTTGCTTTATTTTATTGTTCATGCCTCGCCCGGTCTCGGTCTCTTCCATGTACTCGCATCTACACATGTGCTGAATTTGATTCATTGCTTTTATTAGCGCATTTGCCATTGATTGATTAGTTCTTCGTATTAGTACTTTTTCTATTGATTGATTGCAGATGAAGTGACTATTTGACCTTTAATTATGAGGCTTCCTATTGGAAATGACATTGAGCTATGGCCTCACATAATCCATCTGGAAAGCCTGACGTGATGCGGCTCCCTGGAGTTCGTTCACTGAGGGAGGAAGCCTGGAGGAAGTGCAGAGCTATCCCTGTGCTTCATCTAAAACAATACTACGGGGCTTGTTTGCCATGCTCCTCCTGCTCCAGCTGAGGTCAGAGGCAATTTCAAGACAGCAGCCCTGGCTGTGGGTTGCCATAGAAGCCGGGAACTCTTGCCGGTTATTCTCCAGTTCGGTGGTGAGAGTAGTGTAATGAGAAGGTATTTTACATAGCAGAGACTGAAGAGCAGCTCAGGCTAGGAACGGCTCAGTGCACAGTCAATAGATTTCATCAAGAAAGAGATTAGATACCAGATAGCCCCTGGAATTGGTATTTTACTTTTATTTATCCTTTCCTCTCGGGGATTCAAATCACTTTGCTTTTCTAGAGTTTCACATATGTAGAAAACTTTTCTTGCTACACCCAGGAAGAGACTGGTTCAGGATGTTTGAGGTCCTTAGGTCGAGTATGCGTTTTGTTGGTTTGTATTAAATAGCAAAATAAAATGACTTCGTCTCAGACCAGTTCAGCTATTGACAGTCAATAATGATTGTCCCATCTTTTTCTCTTATTTATAAAAGCATTTCTGAACTGAATGCACTCCATTTAAAATTTAAATTGTGTTTCATTACCAATGGCTTATAAATGCCATATAAGGGCACTTGTGTGGAAAGGCAAATGAAGGAAACGCTTTCTCATGCTGTCTACACTTCATTATGAGTCTCTGACCACTGTGGTAAGAAGCTTTGAGGACTCAGGAGGGAACGGGGAGAACCCAGGCTGATTCTAGGCTAGATCCCAGCTCCGGTCGCTGAGCCTGGCTCTCAGCAACAGCTGCAGCAACTCATCAGCTGGGGCTGCTTTAGGACGCCACTGCCACGCTGAGCAGGTCCACGTGGTGCCTGAGTTCTGCGAGCTGAAGTTTCTGTAGGTCTGCTTCTGATGTTTCCCTCTCTCTAAAATAAAGCTCCCTCTTAGGTGTCCGAGGGAAAGTTCTTGAAAGTTCTGTTGCAGAAAGGGAATTCAGCTGCAGCTGCCATTGAGGAGGTTAACAAGCATCCTCACAGGGCTGGGAAGATGCTCCGGTAAAGCCCGGGGCCCCTGGGCCAGCTGTCAGGCCAGATAGCAAAGGCTGTTCTCTTACTTCATGTGTGCTCAGTGGCATGCCCACGCTGACACACACACACACACACACACACACACACACACACCATATGCATCTGTCACACACAAAGTATTTTTTCTAATCCTGACACTGTCCAAAGAATGCTTAAGAGAAACAAAATCACAAAGGGACATTTTATTCAAGTTTAATTGGAAGCTTTTCAAGGTTGGTAAAGAATGAACTTCAACTAGAACTGAAACGTAAAGAACAGTCTGATCTCTTTCTTAAGACGTGAAATCACAATACAAAACTCTGCAGATCTGGTGGTCTCCTTACCCCAGATGTATTGCATTTGATGCATGAGGATTTTTACTGCCACAGAACTGGGCATCTGTAGTAGCTTAAAGCAGCTGTTGAAGCCTCTTCCCTAAACAACTGTGGTGACCAGGAAGCCTGTAACTACCCGCTCACAAAAGGAAAAGAGCTCAGCTCACACAGTCAACAGAGGCCAGTACTGTTGTATGTATAAGACTTTGGCATGGGTTTGGATTGTTCTATTAATTATTTATCAAGAAAGTTATGAATACATTCTCCTCCTAAGACATTTTTAGGATACTTAGCATCTCTAATTATCCTGACACTCATCCCTTATCTTTCTTCATTGTAATCAAAATCATCCTATTTTCAAGTGGGTCTTCTTTCTGTGTGTGTGTACATGTATCAGCGAGTGTCTGTATAAGTGTATGTACACAAACG